AATTTTTATGCACTATTTATTAACATTTGAAAAGTCCAGTTAAAGCCGAACTAGTTACTTAGAAAACCTGATATAAAATAACAATGATTTTAAGTTTATCGGGAAATGTTTTTATATAAGTCTTTGATGCCTGAGCTATGGTGGTCTTTACCTATATAGTTTCATTCTTGTCCCAAGGCAAGAAGGAATTACCTCTAAAATGCACTGACTATAGACAAACAATGAATGACACATAGACATGGAGAAGATGAAGATGTGACAATTACACTCTTTGTGTACACAAGTCCAATGGCTATACTTTCTATTTTTTCCTTGGGGGAGGGGGCGGGGCCGAGGAAAACAACTTCTAAACCAAACATAAAAGACTAAAGCTCTTTCCAATGCATTTAAACAGCATGAGTTTAAGCTGGAAAATCTCTGGCAATGACTTTAGTGTTTGAAAGTATCTTAATGCCAGGAAAAACTCTACTATTACAAAATGTTTATTTTTTAAAGTTCAGCTGAGGTTTGAGTTTTATGGAAGATCTTTAAGACGGATCAAAAGTAAATTCAGGAACAGCCTTTCTTACTAGATTTCCTGCAGGTTTCATTTCATTTTAGAAGCCATATTTATTGCTAATACTCACTGATATTCTCCCCTGCATGAAACTCTAGCTCCAGGCAAGAGCTGTCCTCAAACACACTTCATTGCCTTTATTTCCACACCTTTATGCCACTGTCCAATTTTTTTTCCCACTTAAACTACGTTTCTCTTTTCCTACCTATTCTAATCTAACCCATTCTTCAGACTGAACTCACGTCCCTTCTCTGTATTCATGAAGCCTTTACAGATAACCAGCTTTAGTTTTCTTCATCTTTTGAACTCTTATTACTCATTGACTCTTCAGCAATTATGAATCCCTTTATGATATTTTTTACTGTGATCTCTTCCAGCACTTATGTCATGTGCTAAACTAGACTGAAAATTCAATGAGAACATTTAAGAATTATTTTTTATGTCATCTACAGCAACCTTTTTGGCACCAGGGAACAGTGCTCCTATGAAAATTTAAAGCTTGATGATCTGAGGTGGAGCTGAGGTGGTGATGCTGGCACTGGGGAGCGGCTGCAAGTACAGATGAAGCTTCGCTCACCCACCAGTCACCTCCTGCTGTGCAGCCCAGTTTCTAACAGGCCATGGACTGATACTGGTCTGTCTCTCAGGGGTTGGAGACCCCTGATCTATAGTGTTCAATTTGTAAGTGCTCAGTAAATACGCTGAAAGATGAGAAATGGCTAGAGAAATAGAGACTCCGAAACCCTTACCCTTGGTCTTAACATGACCTTCAGAATGTCAGATATATCTGTTTAACACCATGAGAATGAAATGGCATTATTTGAACACCTAAATTTTTTTTTTTGGCATAAGGACACAATTCAAATTTAATAGTAAGGTATATGAAGAAGGGCCTTCTGTTAAAATGTGATTTCAATATACATTTCACCATCATCTTGGGCCCCAAATTCACCATATACCCTTGTACTGTAACCATTCAAAACTTCTTGCAGTTCCTTGAATGTGCTGTGCTTCTTTCATGTCCATGCAAGCTCTGATGCCTTGTCTTCTTCTGATAAAATCATCCATTAAGATCAAGATGAAAGACTGATTCCTTCGTGATATCTTCCTTCACTTAATGATTCTCTTTCATGCTCTTAAAGCACCCACCCAAACGACTCCTTCATACATTTACTAATACTGTAAATATGTACAATACACTGAATATTTTACAATATACTGTATTATAATGTGTTTGTGAGAAGTCAGGATATATGTTTTTATTTTATATTTGCCCAATGCCACTCACAATATCTAGTTTATAGTAGGTACTCAATGTTTACTAAATGAATACATAAGTGAATGACTTTGTTAACTGTTTAGATGAAGCGGGAAAACCCTGGAATTTAAAGGTTAGCCATGGATAACCAAAAGTTATATAATTCACATGGAAGTCAAGAGCTAGCCATTATCCTTCAAGGTATTTTGTATCTAAAATAAAAAGAAATTCAGATGATGAAGAGGTTAATAAAATAATGAGAAAGATAAATTTAGATCAGCAAAAAAATAGTCCTACCTGCTCCTCACTACAGAGGAAGCCACGAATAGGTGCAGGACACCTGGTTCTCCAACCTGGGCAAGCATCATAATCACCTAGACAGACTCTTAAAAACACAGTTAAATTGGCTGCATCGGGGTCTCCAGAGGCTGAGACAGGAAACTATTTTTAACATGCTTCCTGAGCTTTTCCGATCAATCAGACCAGGAACCACTGAACTGAAACAATAACCGAAAGCTTCACCAGCTTCACACCTGGATACTATACGGTCATGTGTATTCCACTAAAGAGATGAATATTAGGTACATCTCAGATATTCTATTTCTGAGTCCTATACCTAAGGAAAAAATATTTCCAGATTATGACAATTTCTAATTATTTGTTGTAACTAAATCACTAAATTCTTTCAATCCCACAGAAATCTTAACTACTAAACCTTAGGTAGAGCCGCTAACAAGTCACAGGTTGGCTATTTTAATTTCCTTTGCTGCTCAATGGAGCAAAGGTGTGTTAATAAGTAGGTGGATTGGCCAACAGGTAGGACAGAGTAGAGAGCAGGAAAAGCTAATGTGTAGAGATATTCACAAACATATAACATTTCTGGATAATGGAAAATAGGCCTCCTCCAAATTTAGAAGTGAATCAATCACTGAGAATCAAGTATCATCAATATTAAATCTGAAACCTAAGGAAAATCAAACAATAGTAAGAAAAAGTTCTATAGGATATTTATGAGAAAGTACTAATACCTGGGTTTAGGTCCTAGTTCAGCCACTTCCACTTGCACTGTGTGACCTGCAAGAGATACTTAACCCGAACTTGCATGTTCTCATTTGCAAAAATGTAGATTATAATCCTGCCCTACCGAATTCACAAATATGTTAGGGAGAAATACAATAAAATAACTCATATAAAGATGTTTGAAAATGGTAAGAAGCTATATAAAATACAAACCACTATTTATCATAAAAGTTTAGTGGAAATAGTTTTCCGAGGCTTTAAATGTTTACTAGACAAAAATTCACTGAAGTCAAATGTTCTTTTTCTTCCATTTTCCCAACATAAACACTTGAAAATACTTCCTAATTCAAAAGCTGGCATCTTTTCTCTCATTTGGCAAAAACAATTCCCCCCCTTGGGTTTCCAGTGGAACTGAAATGAGTTTGACTGTTTTTGTTTAAGATTATCAACAAAAACCTCTCCAAATTATGCAGTTTCTATGCCAAAACACATTCTTTATGCAGCACAATTGTAGAAATATTATCATATGTGAACAAATGCTGGGTCACAAAGGAGAATTGGGATGGAATATTTTTTCTATCCTTTAGGAAAATGCAAAATGTTTTTAACATATTCTTGTTGAGAAGAGTGATAGATTTTTTTTCTTTTAAATAACTTTATTTTACAACAGAATATCATTAAAAATGGGAGTGGGGAACAGAGCTATACTAATTGTTTCAGAAAATATACGTTTCAGATGAGTCCAACAGATAGGCAGCCAGCTATGTTATCATCATCATCATCATATCATTTACAAAGCCTCTTACCATGCGTTAGGCATTGTTAAGCACTTTATAGTTGTTAACTAATTTAATCTTAATGACCTTATGAGATTGGTAATGTTATTTTCATTTCACGAATGAGAATATTGATACAAAGAAATCAGATAATTTGTCTATGGTCACACAGTTATTAAGTAGTTGAAGTGGGATTTGAATCTAGCACTGACTCCAGAGGCCATGTATTTAACCACGAGGCTATCTTTTCTGGGATGTGAATAATTCATATACAGTTAAGATGCAATAGATAAAATATAATACTCATTGGCCAGCAATTCTAAAAATATATACATAAATTAAAATTTTATTTTATATCTTTTTATTTATTTTATTTATATCTTAGGTTAAGCTCTCTAAAGAAAATATTTTGCAATTTAGAAATCTTTAATTTAAAACTTCTAAAGAATTATCTGGTAAACCCAAGATGGGTCTACTTAAAAAAGGTATGTACATATGATATATATATATATATACAGTCATGTGCCCCATAAATAATGTTTCAGTCAATGACGGAACGAATATACAATGGTAGTCTCAAAACATTATAATGGAGCTGAAAAATTCCTATCACCTAGTGACATCGTAGCCATCATAACAGACATATTACTCACGTTTGTGGTGATGCTGGTCTAGGCATGTACTGCCAATGGTATAAAAGTATATCACATAAAATTACATACAGTCTACGATACTTGATAATGATAATAAATGACTATGTTACTGGTTTATGTATTTACTACACTATACTTCTTAGTGTTAGAGTGTACTTTTTCTACTTATTAACAAAAAAGTATGCTGTAAAACAGATTGCCATGTTATACCGGCATTAGCCTCATACATCTCGTGTTTACCATGTCCCTTGACTGCACCATTTTCTCTTGTGCTTAATTTAATCTCATGTTGTTTTGCACAGTAACGTGCTGCACAGGCTTATAGCCTAGAAGCAATAGGCCATACCATCTAGCCTAAGTGTGTAGTTGGCTATACCATTTAGGTTTGTGTAAGTGCACTTTGTGATATTCGCACAAAGATGAAAAATTGCCTAATGACGAATTTTTTATAATATATCCCCATCGTTAAGTGACACATGACTACACATACATATACCTCTGTGGCTAGTGTCAAACAGTGTAATCTTCTGAGAAAGGTTATTGCTCAATCACACTCATTACAGATTCTTAAGAGCTGTAGAGATGTTCATCTGACTGAGATGATCTAGGGTTATTTCTATTGCATTACGATAATTTACTCTAACTTCTACCTCTAACATCCCCCAAATCAAAAGACTACGGTTAATTTGTAAAATGTAACTGCACAAATTTTAAAATAAACAAAGGACAATATAAACTTCCTAGGTAAAAATTGGTTTAATAGGACATACCCACAAACCAAATTTATTTTAGAAATAACACCTTAACAAGTGAACGAAGTCACATGTAAAGTCCATATGGATAATATATTCAGAGACTGAAGTCATGCATTTAGTTTCACTTGTAAAATCTACATAAAACCTCCAGCAAAGTGCACAGGATTTAAAAAAATAGAAATAATGATGGTAAGGCAGCTGTCTATGCTTAGGTGTATTTATGCACAAAAATGATTCCACTAAATCATTTTTAAGCATATGCTATTTGTCAGGTACAATGCCAGTCATTTTACATCAATTATCTAAGATATCTTTTTTATTATAACAATCCTAGGTAGGTATCATTCCCATTTTATGAATAATAAAATTAAAGTTTAATATCTCCAGATAGTACCACAGTAAAGAATTCAAACCCGAGTATACATGGCTTTTTCCATAATTCTGCACAACCTACATAAAGTAACTAGTAAATTTAAGATCTATGACAAAAAAATCTCAATAACTTAGTCTCATATCTTAAAACAATTTGAATATTTAAAAGAAAATTACTCACATAGCTCATATTCCATTTTTTTCACCAATCAGATCCTCAAGACCTTTCAGAATACTACACCTCTATATTGACTTAAATTTTAGTTATTATAGTTCCCCTTTTTTGAGCACCACGCATTGTATGAAGTGCTCCACATGCATTAACTCTTTAAGTGATCACAACACTATGAAAACATCTTCCATTTTACAAGTGAGAAAACAAGTTCAGAATGTTAAGTAACACAGAGGTAACAAATTCAGAGAAAGAAATCTGAGGTCTGTTCAACTCTAGAACCAACAATATTACTATTAAGGCACATGGAGTATTCTTTCAAATTGCAAATTATTTTTCCTAGATCATTTCCAAAAAGCAAATATAATAGTGCCTAATATATGTCAAGGAATGTGCATATTTATTTTCCTATTTAATCCTAATAATACTTCTCTGAGGAATGAAAGACAATGTTTATTAATATTCTATTTCACAGGTGGGAAAAAATGAGGTTCGGAAAAGTTGTATAGTGCTTTTTCTACTATGCAATGTTGCTGTCAATCCCTTGGAAATAGAACTTTCTGAAAATCTATATATACATAAATTCTTCAATAATTTGTTTGCATATATCATTAATTTTACTGAAAACCAAACACAAACAAAAACTCCAGTGAAATATGTTTCACTGATAAAAGAAAGGCTCTCACAGGATACTTATTCTCAATTCTATTACATATGTTCAAAGGCGTTAAAGGTTTTCTCTTGCCTTATTTCTGAACTGCATCACAAACTCAGAAAGGTAAACTTCTTTAAACTTTTACTGCAACAGAAATGTAGTGGTACTTGCAAATTTTTGACTTAAAGTCTACTATTTCTGATATTACTATAGCCACATATTCTCTTTTGTTTACTATTTGCAAGGAATACTGTTCCTCCATTCCTTCATTTTAGTTTGTATGTCCTTAAGCATAAAGTGAGTCTCTTGTAGATAGCATATAGTTGGGTTTTGTTTTATAACCACTTCGGCCACTGTCTTTTGATTGAGTTTAATCCATTTACGTTTAAGGTAATTATTAATAGAAAAGGGCTTACTTTTGCCATTTTGTTTTCTGTTTTGTAGTTCTTTAGTTCCTGTTTTTCTATTGTTGACCCCTTTTATGTTTTGTTATTTTTTTGTAGTAATATTTTTTCATTTTTCTTTTTATTTTGTGTACTTCTCTCTATATAATGTATGTGTATGTGTGGTTACCATGTGGCTTGTTAAAATGTCCATGCTACGCAAAATGATCTACAGATCACCATATATATCATTTCATTGCTATTCTATCAAAATCTTAATGGCATTTTTTACAGAAATTTTTTAAAAATCATAAAATTCCATACAAAAATTTTAAAAATCATAAAAATACGGAGCCACAAAAGACCAAGTATAGCCCAAGTGATCTTATGAAAGAACAACAAAGCTGGAGGCATTACATTTCCGGATTTCAAACTAAATTACAAAGCCATGATAATAAAACACTACAGTATCAGCATAAAGACAGACATATAACAATGAAACAGAATAGAGAGCCCAGAAATAAAGCATATACACAGTCAACTGATCTTTAACGAGGGTGCTAAGAACACACAATGGGGAAAGGATAGTTTCTTCAACAAACGGTGTAGGAAAAACTGTATATCTAATGTAAAAAAAAGAAATAGAATCCCCCTACCTTATCACACACAAAAATCACCTCAAAGTCAATTAACGATTTAAATGTAAGACCTGAGACTGTAAAACTCTCCCAAAAAAACACAGGGGAAAAGTTTCTTGATATTGGTCTTGGATAATTTCTCTGTTATAACATCAAAGCACAGGTAACAAAAGGAAAATTAGACAAGTGGAACCACACCAATTTAAAAACCTTCTTCATAAAGAAGTAAACAACAATTAAAAATCAACCTAAGGTAAAGGATAAAATATTTGCAAACCATATTTGCAAAGGGGTAAGGGATTAATATCCCTATTATTTGTTAATAATAACTCAAGATAAATCCTAGGGAACTGAACAGCATGGTGCCCATAGTTAACAAAAAAGGGACACCAGGAAACTCTGGGAGGTGTTGAATGTATCTATTACCTTGATTGTGGTGCCAGTGTCACAGGTGTTTGCATATGTCCAAATTCATCAAACTGGACATATTAAATACATGCAGTTCTTTGTATACTAATTATACCTCAATAAGGTTTAGAAAATGCAGTGATGTGTGAATGTGTGGTTACTCAGTCAAAGATGGTCAGGTAAGAGGCTCCACAGAAAGCACACCCTCAAGTCCTTTACCTACAACAGTCCCAGACATGAAGTCTGGTGACCATGAAATCTCAGGTCCGTTAAAATCTTCAGGAAACTTTCATACACTTTCACCAACTTCTACCTTAGTTCATGAGATGATCTCTTTATTCATTTTTAGCACTTGGATGTTAGAAATCTGCCTTAGGTTTTATTGTATTAATGTGAGTTCAATTTGCATTGTAATCCACTGACTGGTTCTCACTGAAGAGACACAAGCTCCACCATTTAAAAACTTATACAGTAATATTGTAATAACTATGTATGGTGCAAGATGGTTACTAGACTTATGGAGGGGGCCACTTTGTAAATTATATAAGTGCCTAACCATTTTGCTGTAACACCTGCAACTAATATAAAATAATATTGAATGTCAACCATAATTGAAAAAAAATTATGAACTGTAACAAGCTGTTTTCAAGTACTTACCTAGCTGAGAGGCAGAGTTGGGGTTAGATTCAAATGCAAGCTTTACCATTTACTGGCTGTGTTTATTATCACTGGCCAATCACAGCAGTTCGATCCTTAGTTACTTAACCTGTAAAGCTGGGATGACTTATACCTACCCTCACTCACAGAGTTGTTGTGAAGATCAAAGATGATGAATGTACATCGCCAGGTACTAATGGTGGTCCTTAATAAATATTATTTTAATTCCCTTGTTTTAAAGTTGACACTAAGGTGGAGATGGGAGGTTCGAAAACAACAACAAAAAAACTACCACATCCCCTCGAAAAACCTGCAGACATTCATATACGATACAAATCAGAGCAGAATACATTATCTTCCATCAGGGTCATAAATGTAAATTGTCGCAGCTTGAATGTGACTAGGATTTCTTAGTAAAAAAAGAAAAAAAAAAAGGCTGCACTTCATTGAGATAGTTTTGCTTAAATAGTCACATAAATACCTAATTCTTAATTAATCAAGAGAGTCATAGTTTCTGAATTTAGTCAGCTGGTTACATCTGAATGCTAGAAGATAGAGAATTATTCAGTCCTGCAGTCAAAAATGCACTGCTTTGTGAATGACAAAAGATAAGACTTTGGGAAAGAAAATATTTGAAGCTCATCTTGGGAACCAAGAAATTTGCATTTCATAGAAGGGATTTAAACTACATTGGAATATAAGGTGCTGGAAACAATTGCAGGCAATTGCTTTCTTGGTCCATTGCCTAACCCTATACTTATCACCCTTTGCAGTAGCAGTTTATGAGCTGGCCCTAGTCACCTAAATGCTGTATATCTTAGTTGGTTTGCCAAATAACAGACAAAGAAAAAGGCAGACCATCATATTATGACGTTTTTTTCTTAATTTAAGAGTATTCTTTTAAAAAATAGATTTCACTACAGAAACACTAACTCAACTAAGGAACCATATATTTCTTCTCAAGGACCATGGTACAACTAAGATTTTCTCTTTTCCATTTTCGTCTCTGGCTACAGGCAGAAATAGACTAGCTGACAGCAATAGTTTTGTCAGGGTATCTTATTTCTTGTATCCAGATAGAGTTAGGCTTTGTATTGTTTTTAGTGGCCTTTCATGTATTTTTTCTTTCATGCAGTTATTCAACAAACATTGTGTATCTACTGTGTACCACGAAAGCAGAGGTAAACGAGGCCCTAGACCAACAGGAAAAAGCACACAGGTTATTCATAATTCAGTTTTTGTTAAGTGCTATAATAAAGATATGCCCAGATTGTGGTGCTGGGTTACTTTACAAAGATAAAGAAATACATTCTGTGTACAAGAGCCTACACAGAATATGATAGAATTAAAATGAGGAAATCCATAGCTATTATGTTATAATTGTTTACTTGTCTGACCTTCCACCAGTAGTCAATAAGCTCCTTGAGTTCAGAAACCCATTTCTCTCACTTATTTATGTTTAGTACTTTTGTGGAGGTGATCCATAGAAACATAGCAAAATGTACTTTCTTGAATACCTAAATCCTTACAAAAATTTGTACACAAATGTTCAACACAACTCTGCTTCCCAGAACTTCCTGATTGTCTGTGTTAATCAATTATACAATTATAGAAATGGTGCAACATTTAAAGGTCATTCTAAATTAACCCCTTCATCACCTTAAGGTAAGAAAATTGAGCTCCAAGAAAAATGACTTAATAAGGTTATACAAACAGTACTGGGACCAGGAAGAATTCACTTTCAATCTAATGATTCATTGTCTTCTTTAGTTGATTTGACATTTTCCTTCATATAATCCTCATTTTTTTAAAGAAAAAAAATGATTTAAAAAGAAGAAAGCCTCTTTATCTTTCATAAGTCCAATAACTATTATAAGATTTTGGGAAATATAGAAAAAAAGGCTAAGAGAATAAACAATTTTACCTTTCTGCTTCTATCAATGAGAAAATACAACTATTAATACTTAAAGATCTTACTCTTTAAAGATACTACAACATAAGAATTCACAGGAATAATTAGGGAGAGCAACAAAGACCCTTCCTTATTCAAGGAAATGGAAATAATCAGACACATAACAAAGATGCTACATATCTGAATATGTACCTGATCCTTGAGAGAGATGTCAGATTTAATCCACAAGACAATGTCTTTCAGAATGTCACTTTCTGAAGTTCCCCTTTGAGATTCATTTTTTTGTGGCGTTTGTAATAACCAATGGCAGGTATAAATACAATAAATAATCTTTGTGGTATTTATTCACTCGAGAGGTTTTCTACGATAGCAAAACCTTTTCTTGAAATTCATATTTGTTCTTTTCACCAAGTAGTAACTTTTAAATGGAGTTTTTCGTTTGTTTCCATACATACACACAAACAAAAACCAGATCCTAAGTTTCACTGATAATTTTTTTTAAAGCATTATTTAACGTTGACCTTCAAAAGCTGATTGTATAAAACAGTATATAACCTACAGCCAGAGGTAACTCAGTGATCGTGTAGTCCAGCATTTCCCCAGCTAGTGTCCATGTGCACCTGAGGATGACATCTGAGAGGGAGAATGGGAAGTTGAGGAAGACAGAATGCGAGGGGAGAGATAGCCATAGCAATAAATACTGATACTTGCTCAATTTTGTCTAGGAAATTCCGGGTTATGTAAATAAATATTTAATGAGCACCAACTAGTGCCAGATTCTACTAGATGCTAGAGCAAACCGGGTTTATACCTGGATTTCTTAGAGCTTCTAACGTGCTAGTGTTTACTATGACCATGATGACCATATGTCCTAGTTTTCCTGGGCCGGCCCCAGTTTACAACTGTTTCAACATTAATAGCACCCTCTTTCACTCATGATAATTCTGTAAGTTGAAAGGAGGGTGAATATAATGCACAGATTTTCCTAAACTTATACGAACAGTGAAATACTTGTATTTACATTTCTACAACCATCTCCTGGAACAGTAGTCCATAAATCACAGTTTGGGAAAACTTGATCTACTCCAGTCTCTCTCTTTAATAGCTGATGGAAACTAGGGACCAGAGAATTAAAGAGACTCAGCTAGAAAATGGCAGAGATGGATTCCTGGATCCTATCTCTGATGCATTTTTTGATGTATCACAGATTACTACACTAAAACTCTCAACATGAAGTTAAAAATTCCTATTATTAGGTTGCAAGTATTATAATATTTTCTCCTAATAAAATGTCATCCATATTTACAAGTTAATTTCAATTTAAATGTAGTTCAAATAGATTTTTTCTTTTTAAATTATAGCTGTAGAATTAACCAAAAATGGAGTCAATGAAAAAACATCTTGTAGTCAACTCTTCAAGCTTTTAAGCTAAGTTTATTTATTTCCTATCCTCTGCTTTCTCTCTACTCTCTACCCCAGTAAATGTGAGGTAACTGATTTCTTCATATCTTCAAAGTGTCACTGGCCTAACAGGTGTGTGTTTGGTATATGGGAAAGGAGTTAATTTATCAATCAACAGACTTTCTAGTGCCTACTACAAAGAGTTTCACTATATTTTATTCCTCTTTATGGTCCCAAGTGTCCTTTTAAAGTAAGGATACTACTTTCTCAGGCCATTTGCTACCTATGAAAAGTCTGAAAAGGTTAAATTAAAATATAATTTCCCTTATGCTTTTCGAGTCTCTTCACGCTCACTAACAAAGGCTATTTTCTGATTCTGTTTGCACCAAAAGATATGGCTCTAGAAGAAAACCGGGCAGAGAATTCTATCTTTAAAAATAAATTATTCACATTTTGGGGTCATACATGGCCACTGCTATTTCTAGCTGTTATCCATTTTAGTTAACTTAAGTAGTTCTTTTGAGAAGAGGGAGTAAATGATTATATAAATTTTAAAAAGAAAGCTATTTTTTATGCGCTAAGAAACACAAATGGCCTTTACTGAGGAAAAGCAGAAAATACCAGTTAAAACACAGTTCAAAGTCTTGGGATATACATTTCTGTACAGTATATCTTTTTGCTCATCACCAGGAAAAGGGAGTTAGCATTAATTCTTACTCAGACAAGATAACCAGTGAAGTATATGAAAAGAAAATTATAAGGCGACTAAGGCAGAAGAACATTTCTGGAGAGAATCTACTCTCGGATTTGTAGATGGTGAGATGAGATGTATGTGGCAGAATATCCGTCTCACCATCGGAATGGACGCTGTGACGGTGGTGTAGAGCTTTGGAACACAGCTCTCTCTTCTGTGACTAGAAAAAGACCTGCTTACGATAATTTACCATTTGAAGCAATGAGCTTATTCAAGTCTAACTACTGTACTCAATTAGAGCCACCTGTTTAAAAAAAAAGGAATACAGATATTGATTACATCAAATGTTTTCATTGAGAAGTTGACACGAACACTCATACAGTTTATCGTGGATGGTCTCAGAAGCTTTCCTGTGTATGAGAAACAGAATTACAGGCCTTTTTGTACAAGTTCCTGTATATCTTGTCCATGCTGTTCTCAAAGACGGGTCGGTGGGACTTTCCTTTATAAGAGGCTGCCCTGTTGGACCAGTATTCGCCATCATCCAAATGGTGACTTCCACGTGGCCGCTGAAATGAGCTAGAAAAAAAGGATATAAAAGGCTGAAACAATGGTGGAAGTAGGGGAGAAGTAGTACTATATAAATTGCATATTTACAGAGCACTTCATGGGTATGTGATACTCTGGGTTATTAGAAATAAAAGACAATAAGTCCTGTGCCTTCAAAGGGTGATGCTATTGACATGAAATAATTACAAAACAATAAAATGAAAATTGTGTGTGAGAGATGGAGTTAAAAAGGAATTCAGAGAAGAGAGACAGGTGTGCCATGGTGAAAGCAGAGCCCAGAGGCTGCGGTATGGCCAGTTATGGCAGTGGCTGGCCTCTGAAGTCAGGCAGACCTGGCACTGAATTCTGTTCAGTCCTCTATAAGCTCAGGACCTTGGGCAGTTTATTTAATCATCCAGAGTCTTGGCTCCCTGTACTGTATCTTTGCAGTATTTGCTTTAAAAATCAAAGAAAATATATTTACAATGCATAGTACAACGCTTATCTTGCACACGGAAGTTATTAAGGATAAGGCACTGAACTACTAGGACTTTCTACATATTTATATATGTTGATCAACACATCTTACAACCCCCTCTGAAGTTGGTAAGTGTGGAAACTGAGACTCAGTGAAGTCAAGTGACTGCCTAAGACTGCTCAGAGAGGAAGTGGCAGAACGGAAAGGGGTACCATGTCTCTGGTTTTAAAGCCCTGTCTACCATGGCATGCTGCTATTGTCCTCAAGCTGGAGTAGAAAGTGAGCCTGCATGTGGACCACTTTCGGGAAATGAAAAACAAGGTAGAAGAATCTGGATCTGAAGTGATAAGGATTTACTTTAATTTTGAGAGTTTTGAAGAAAAGGACAAATAGGAAGCTATGAAATAGAACAAGACTACTGTTGTAACGAGACTAGAGAAGAAAAGGCAACTCTTTCTGAAAGCTGATAGCATTTTTTTATACATACCAAAGTTATAATTTTACTGTCATAAACATTAAGTTCTGGGCTTATTATATCATTTGTTAGAAACAAAACATTGACTTTCGCAAAGACTAAGTTCATTTTTTTTTAAATCAATAATCCACCTACTTCAATAAATTAAATACTTATTATAGATAAGACTTCTCAGGAATGTTAGAGATTATGAAGTTTGTGCCATAAAAAAACTACATGGCTATTAAATGCTACAAATATTTTCTTCAGATATTTGGAATCTCACTTCACACAAACAAATGATTTCTTCCATGACTTATCAGTCTCATGATGTTAGTTCTATTGTCAATTGTAAAAATAGGAATTCTTGCAGCTATATATCTGTAAAAAGTATTTGCTATTTGGCCTGAAGTCAGTCTTACCACCGAAACACAATAAAAGTGACAACAAAAAAAGGCATGGAGTGGCTCTGTTATCATTTCTAGAGCTTGACACAGTGTCAGTGATGATGTAAAGTAATGAGAACATTTATCCGCTCACTTTAGAAAACAGTTTGGTGTGACCTAGTAAGGGTGATTATGTAACATCAACCCAGGTAATCCACTTCTAAGGACCCCTGTGAAATTCTCGCACATGTGTACCAGGAGACAGGTACAGACATGTTCATAATAACACTCTTCATAACAGAGCTAAGAACTAGAAGCAGCCTGAATATGCATCTACCTTAGAACAGATAAATCAAATCAGGGTATATGTATACAATGGTATAATATACAGTGGGAAAATCAATAATCCAAATATAATAATAATCCATTACACAGTTGTAATTAAATTTATATGATGCTTAAAACAAGGAAAATTAAATAATTTTTAAAATAAATATAGATACATATATAACTACTGAAAAAAGGATTAATAGAAAAGTCACACTAGCTGTTACTTCTATGGAAAGAGATGCAATTGCTTAGGGGCATAAGGTATTGGTTATATTCTGTTTCTTAAGCTTGATGGTAAATAAGTGGTTTTTTATTATTACTATTACTATTATTATTATTATTATTATTATTATTATTATTATTTGGGATGCACAAACCTTAAAATATATTTCTTTGTTAGAGTTTATATATCTTATATTAAGTTTTTAAAAATTCACTTCCATGAACCATGACAATATGTCTTTCTACTTGCTGATGGCTTTGCTAAAATGGGATTCTACCTCACACATTCTATCAATATTTACTAGATCCTGTCAAACTTTATTCACACTTGGTATCACCTCTTTCACCCTGGAAAATTTTGAAAATGATATAGTCTTCGGGATGACAAATGTATTTTTTATGCTTAAAGCAGCTTTATTTGTAATAGTCACAAATTGGAAACAATCCAAATGTCCCTCATTTGTGAATGAATAAACAAATTCTAGTAACATCCATAAAATGAAATATTTTCAGCAATAAAAAGGAATCAACTGTTAGAAATAGATACAGGTTCCAAGTTGGATGAATCTTACAGACAAAGGTATTTTGAAACATGATTGTCATTACTTCTATTTTGTCCATTCAGTTTCAGAGAGGTAATTAAAACAATTTCTAATAATGTCAGTATAACCTTTAAAAATTTTCAAAAGGCTTTAGCCAAGTCTCAATGCTACTGTTTTGATATCACATTTCTTTTACTGTCTTTGCTCAAGAAATAGTCTAGCCAACTGAATATAATTTATTTCACACCATTTCTCCCCAACCCTAACTCCTCTGTCACTTAAAACCGTTTTTTGGCAATTTGAGTCAAGTGATAAAGAAATCACATGCACGAATACGTTAACAGAAAAATTTCTGCCTGTTCTATCTCTGCAAACATACCTAGCAGCCTAAGCCCCTGCATATGCCTCTATTCCCTCATACTATTTTAGGAGTCCCACATGTGGTTTGTTTGGTTGTCTTTTGTTTATTTGTTTTGTTTTGCAGCAAGTCATACACTAATTAACAGTTCACAAAACACAGATTTGTTGTCTGCAATCATCAACTTTACTGTACAGTGATGGCCAGATAATAATATCCTTTTCTGAGCTCTATAGTTTGTTTAGTTGCCAGGCTCATTCTACTACCATGAACCTACTCAACACAAGTTTGGCCAAAGTAGACATTCTAATGCTTTTGGATCTTGCAAATTTGGCAGGGAGTTTGTTTATATTTAAAATCGCAAACTTTTTCAATTTAGTAAACAGTATTGTGGCTCTCTGGAGAGAATTCTAGAATTGGTTCAGACTGGAAGTCTGAATTGCAAAACAGAGATGTGAACACAGAACAGGTTCTAACATGGTTCATGGGTAGACAGGTGCAAACAAAGAATATCAAAATCCTAAAAACAATATTTACTTGTATACAAGGAAGCCTTGGCTAATTAATGCACTGTGAACATATTAAGTTAATTCTGATTTTCCATTACTTGGTTTATTAGTAAGTTCAAAATGTGTAAGTGACACTAAAAAGTCTTATTATAATAACATAGTCCTTTAAAAACTACAGGTCTCTGTTTTGCTATGAGTATCTCCAGCATCCATTCATTCAAAAAATTTAGTAAGTTCCTACTATACTCTACAAAATACTGCATCAGTGCTATATGCCATAAAATGGTTATCTTCAAAGCAGGGATAATATTGTTATTTTATTAAATGCAGTGTTTGTTTTTATCAACTTAATAATCATGCTACTTGAATAGGGAGTATTCTCTTTAATTATGACAATGCTATTAAGAAAAAAAGAAAAAAGAACAGAGACCAGAGACCAGGATAATATCTCAGAACTGGGCAGTTTCAAATCCTAATTGTTAATAAGGTATAAATTATAAATTTATTTTTTAAAGCCTAGTGTATATGCAAAGAAGAGAAATGTCTTAGGCAGCTTATTATGGACCAGGAGACAAAGGACATAACCAGCTTTTTCTTTAGAAAAGAATGAACTCTCTTAAACCCTGATGGTGTTTTCTATAATCAGTATCAAATAAAAATCAAGCACATACATAGTGTTCAGATAAAATATCTATAAGGTTGTCTACATAGAAAAGAAAGTCAGATGGATATGCTACCCAAAGAATATTAATTCTAAAAAATAATTAGAAGGTCATGAGAATTTAAAAAGTCATCATTTACCATTTGTTGAAGAATCAGAGTTGAAAGTGACTTTAAAAAATGATGATGCATATGCTATACTTTAAACTTGTGACCTAAGAATCAATATAATGAAAAGTATTTTATAATATAAGAGATGAATTCCTTTCTATATTACTCTGTAAAAACTCCTATCAAGCAAAACTTTGACAAAACATGTAGACGAGCATTGATGATATAATATATGCTGTGGATGAATGGGTGGAAAGTAGAAAGGATTCAAAGTCTTGGAGTTCAGAATAGATGATAGAAGATTATATTATGGTCTAATAAAATCTAAAAGGTACTTTGTACCTTTAAAGATACCATAGATAAATGTCATAAAAGATATCAAAATGTATTGATAAATTATAGCACTATATTTCTCAAATTTTAATATGCATCAGAGTCATCTGGAAGGCTTATTGCAACTTAAATTATTAAGCCTCGGGTCTGAGATGGGATCCACGAATGTGAATTTCTAACAGGTATCAGGGTAATGCTGAATGCTGCTGGTCTAAGAACTATGCTTTAGAAAGCATTAAACTAGAGGTTTAGTTTTCTACAGGAAAAGAAAAAAAAACTCAGGGAAGAAATTCCATGTTGGCATTTATCTTCTATTAAGTAGCAGAAACTATACAGTGAACATCAAAAGGTATTTATTCAAATAAATTCACTGAAAACTGGTTATTTATGGTTTACTTACAGGTCACTTATTTCCCTTCCCTGAGTAAGAATGTGTAGAAATGAGCCACTGACAACAAATAAGTTCTAACAGCTTCCGTCACTGTTAATTCTAGTATTGATTCCTTATCTAGAGATGTTACTAAATATCACAATCATAAAATGGGTTTATTTAAATAATGCCTTAGAGTTTTAGCAATGTAACTGATCATTATTAATAAAAGACCCAATTTTAATATTTGAACAATATTTTTAAAATTGAGCTCCTAGCACACTTCAGAGACCTTGATGGGCAGAGAGAAACAAAGATAAGTAAAACATTTATGCCTTCAGAGAGCTTACAGCTAATAGAAGAAAGCGAGAGAGAGATAGAAGGAAGTAGTTATCATTGCTAATTGAAATTATATATATGAGAGGAAGTGGCAGGATAATAGAGAAAATAACTACATCTTAATCCTAAAGAATGAGTAGGCATTTGCTAAATAAACAAGAAGAAATGGGTTATTCCAGGCATCATATTGTGACAGAACCAAGCATGAAACAGTCCAGAATGTCATGAAAAACCAGGTATATCTGCAGAGGTAAGAATAAAGTAAGAGCTAAACAGAGAATTTTATCCTGGGAGTAATAAGAAACTTACAATGGGAGAACAAAATGGGATTTCTATTATGATGGGATATTAAATTAAAATTACAATAAAGTCTCCTTAATCTCAAATACTATTTTCAGTGTATATCCAGGTAAAAATGACAAACTGTCTTTATTTAAACACACAAGAATAGTATTTTAAGCTGATATTTTAAATCATCTCTCTGGTTTCACTAATGTAGGTTAAACTCCATATCATTACCATGTCCACAGAGAGCAACTAGTTTATTTTCATTATTCTTTTATGAATGTCATACCATCCTTCCAGTAAAAAAAAACAAACAAACAAAAAAGCAAAACAAAAAAGCTAGTCATAAAACTGACCTAATATGGAGTATAGACAGATTACTTCAGAGAAGATCCATAAATAAATAAAAGAATGAACATATTTATTCCTAAAGGCAGTTATCACTAAAGCTTAAATGACTATAGTTTGAGCATAATATCAGTAATACTACTTATTATGGTTCCCCCAAAGCTAACTTGGGATGGCTGCTAATAATCTTTTCCATGTCATCATCTAGTCAGTAGTCCACCTACCTAATAATATTTAGTGAGGACCATAACTGCCTACTCATTTATGAGAATGTTAGAAAATCATAATCCTTACTAAAAGTTACATTTAATGTATTACTTTCTCATAATCTATTTAAAAAATAAATTAGTCTGGCAAGAATTGCTAGTCATAAAACCATTCTAGTTGTCTACTAGTGTTCTTTAAGGAGGCTACAAGTTAAATGCTAGACATGTACTGATATTTTCCAGATACCAGGCATTAATATTAAGTAGGCTAGTCTAATTAATAAGATTATACTTTTGTTTTTAAAGATGAATATACTTCCCTTTTCTAATAATGAGAAACTTCTCTAGACCCCTAAGCTATAATTTTTACATTTTGAAAAATCACGTAAATATGCAGCAACCCAAATTTTCTGAATATCAATATGCCTTTTTGACAAAAACTTTTAAAAAAGAAAAACTAAATCTTAAATATTTAATGAAAAAGTTCTTTATGATACTTGAGTTAATAACACAAGATCCAATGAATTCAAATTAGAATTAAGCAACATTTTTCTCACTTAAAAATGAAAGCTTATTTTTAGTTATTCAAGAGATTTTAAGTATACATATATATAAATATATATACATATACATATATATTTAGACTTTTTTCCTTTTATTTGTTAATACTAAAGATAGATTTTGGCTATTTATTACATCTTAGTAGATTTGTCAAATTAATCAGATAATGACCAATGGGAAAGAGAACTAAAGTCGATCCTGTGTTATTTAAAAATATATAGGCAAAATTTAAACTACTCAGTTTGAAATTCTGTTATAAATAATTTCATAATTAAAGCATTTATATTGAGCATATTCCTACTGTTAGTAACCTGAAAAAATATGCATAAGAAAATAGAAAACAGTTTTTATCAGTAGCCAATTCCATAAAAGAACAACATGGCTAAAAGTTTTGGGCAATAGACATAAAAGGTCAAGTCATATTCTAAACGTGAACTTCAAATTATTTTTATACCATTTCTTTTTGTGGCTAACTCACATCTATATGAAGCATCACCTCATGCCTTGTCTTTAATTAGGACTAATGCTCAAATAGGATAGTGATGCCAGAAGTACTGAAGAAATTTGAGATATACATAGAAGATACTAAAAGGAGGGAAGAGCATCCTAGGGCCCTGGGAAGTAGCAAGGCTACCATAGCAAATGTCTAAAGTTTTATAAAAGGCGGGCAATATGAAAGTAAGAAGGAAGTCTGTAGGGGTAGTAGATTCTTTCCCCAATCCAGCTCTCAAATCCCAAAGTATTGGAAGTAAAGGTCACTTAATAACTCCTTGAAAAGAGATTTCTTCCAAATCAATTTCAGATTCAAAGGTGGTGGAAAACATAGGACAGCTAGCATGGACATACAAATACATCCTGAAATAAGCCCTTGATATGTGGATTTGCAGGGAAGCCATATATACTAAATATCTTAAGTAGGATGAAAGCATCACCATTAATTGACTATATTTGTTTTCACTGAAAAGTTTCAGTAATACAAACATTAAAATATCTTAATAGGATTTTACATAATTAAACTTTTAAATTTTTAAAGAAATAATTAATTGCTCATTTGAATCTGAATTTCCCACAAATCCAGCAGATTAGGAAGAACGTTGTTTTTATATCGACCATGAGAAAGATCTCTATACACAGAATTAACCAAACTCATACCTATACTCGGGGTCACTGTCATAGGCAGAGTCTCTGTATAAAAGACCTCTTTTTAGTTCCAGTTCATCTTCTTTCTCTAGGTCTCTCTCATCCTGAAAAACATAAAGATTTTCATGAATTCATTTTATAGTTAAAATGATGCTATGTCTCTTTGGGAAATGTTCTCCTCCTCCCCATGATAAGAAACTGAATTAAATGTTTGGATATGTTAGGAAAGAAACAAAAGGGTAAGTGAGACTTTATTATTCTGTTCAATAAAACTAATATGGCTTTATTATATTTTTGCTAATACTGTTTATCAAAGATTGGGCACCCAGTAGATGCTTACTGAATCAATGAATGAATGGGAATGAATACTGTATGTTAAGATATGTAATAAGATGTGTAGTAATAACTTGCACATTGCTATGTGACCTCTGAAAAGACTGTACCTGCATTCTGAAGGATAAGTATTTGGGAGAACTATGTAGAAATAAGCATTCTAACATGTACCTATGACTGACAAAGTAGACGACTTAGAATAATTACTCATAAGCCAAAATGCAATAACAAGCTACAAGAAGCAAAAATGAAAAGCAAGCTAGTCGAAATCAAAATACATGGCTACTCATTCTTCTATGGGCGACCTGTTCTTTTAATAGACACATTCAAGGGCTTGAGAAATAAGATTCTAAAGAGATAGCTTTGTGAGCTATATCATTCATAGTAATTATGTTCTTAATGGTATTTTATATATTTAATATCAAACATCTTTTTCATCTACTGGCCAATGCCCTTATTACTCAGTCAAACTAGAACAGAAATAAAGAGAATTGATAACAAAAGGAACTAGGAAACACAAATAGATTGCTGTTAGGTTTAGTGTTAATAAGGGATTCATTCACTTTATGTAAGAAATCAGCTGAACACAGATTATGAAGAAAAATAATTTTAAAAATTTGAAGACAGCATGAAATTGGAAAGGGAGCATTCAGTTAAAAATGTAAGCAATAAATAATAGAGCCATTTGTGACAACATGGATGGACCTCAAGATAAATATGCTAAGCGAAATAAGCCAGACAGAAAAAGTTGAAAATCACATGATATCACTTATATGTGGGATATAAACCTAAAAGCAACAAGAGAATAGGACAAACAGAGATTCATGGACATGGACGATAGACTAGTGGTTACCAGAGGACAGGGGCGAGGGGAGAGGGAGGAGGTAGATGGGGTAAAAGGGGTCAAATATTTGGCAACAGAAAGAAATCTAACTATGGGAGGTGAACATGCAATGTAAATATATATATGCCTTACTGTTAAATGTACAGCTGAAACTTACTGGATTTTATTAACCAATATCACTATAAAAATAAATTAAATTTTAAAATAAACAAGTTTAAAAATCACAGAAAATGTGAATATATATTTGGAATTATTATAGCTTCTAGGTGAATTGAACATGTCTATCATGAAGTAACTTCATTTATTTCTATTAATGTTTTTTTTCCCTTAACATTTTTGGGGGACTATTAATGTAGCACAATAGCTTTCTTTTAGTACTTGGATGGTATATATTTGTCCTTTGATTTTCAACCTTTCTTTATTATTAGGTTTAAATTTTTTCCTTAAATAGCATATAATTAGATGTTGCTTATTTTGGTCTAGTCTTATAAGTCAATAAAGTGGAGTATTTATTATTAACAAATCTCTCTTATAAGTCAATAAAGTGGAGTATTTATTATTAATAAATCTCTATTAAAAAGTGGAGTATTTATTATTAATAAATCTCTATTAATATCACAGCAAATACAATTGCCTGTAATGAACGCAAAAGACACTACAAAAGTTTAAGAAATTAAAAAATGTAATGTTTTCAATCTCAAGAAATAGATTATGTTGCAACTAACTGAGAGATGTAAATAATATTAAATTAAAAATTCTATACATGGCAAAAGTTATTAAGTTCTACATTATATTTCAAATTCTACACATGGCAAAAGTTATTAAGTTCTACATTATATTTCTAGATTATATAAGTGATATCAGACAGAACCATAAATCAATATTCTTTGTTTAAATTTGTCAATACAATTAAAAAAATTAATTTTTGACCAGTAGCAATAAAAATATTGACTACATTTTAAAAGTTTATATATAAAAAAATATATAAAAATACCTTTAAAAAATCTTAGCCTCAATTATTCATTAAACAAAAGCCATATTTTGAGCTGAGTAGCTGCTATTCTAGACTCTGAAGATAGAAAGATGACCATGACATGGTTCCTGCACACTTGTGGAATAAGATTTGTTTATTCTATGACGTTCTGTGGTAAAATGGACTAAAGGGTAGATTTATCAGGAGACATAGTAAAGAACAAAGTAAGAACACTACAATTAATTAAGCATTGGGAAAAGAGAATGGTTGTCTTAAGAGGGAGTAAGATTGCAATCACTACAAACTATTCATGCAGAGCACTGATCCCCATCTAGACTGAGGATGTCATGGAGGATAATTCTGCCCTGAGAAACAAAAAGGACTAGATGGCCTTCGTGGTTATTCCTTGCAAATTTTAAGACTCTATTTTGTGACGTTTTATACATACTTGATACACATACATATCTCTCATAAGAGTCCTTTTATATAGTCTTTTTTTTAAAGGTCAGGTTACATAAAAGCCAAGAGGCAACAAACATCACATTTTATTATAAGCTATTAACTATGGATCAAGCAAACATTTGAAAAGATGTATCATTCTTGTCAGTGCCAGCAAATACATTCCTGGGGCAAGGAGAGGTAATTCTCCCTTATTCCTCACCAACATTCCCATTTTCCCACATACAAGTGCAGAAAAAGATAGATGACACCAATATTTCTCGAGTAACTTCAAAGTATCTAGGACTCAGGTACTTCTCATATGGATATCATTTAAGCCTTCAATAACCTTATCAAAAAAGTACTGAAACTCAGAAAAATTATATAACTTGCCCAAAAATACAAGTTATTTAGTGATAGAACTGGACTTTAAATCCAGATGTAATTTGATTTACATTATATTGCCTCCCAGAATGCAAGTAAACTAGACTATGAAATCAAAACCTCCATCCCAAGCCATTAAGATTATCCTTCTAGGTGAAAATTAGGCTCAGATTCCTTCAGCTAATATCTACTTGGTTTTTTAGGAGAATATTCTAAAATAATATAGCCCAGAAGAAACTTTTTCAGAATTTCCATGAATACTTTTTTTTTTTCAGCAAAAGTCATCAATAAAATGAAACATTATTAAAAGAAGCTGGGGCTCTCCTCTGAATAGGCAGTAAATTAAATGTTCTCTTAATATTCCTTTCACCAATGATCACTATCTTACACATGTAAATGACATCATACCTAGAATATCCCTGGAACAAAAAAATAAAAGATATCCACTCATGCTTGCAAATTTAAAAATTTAGGACAAAAGAAAAAATAAAATAAAAAACAAATCTGGGTGAATTCGTCTGAGGTAAGAGCCACACTAAAGAAAATTCTAGAGTATTATAATCACAGGAGTAAATAATCATAGAGGAAGCTTGGAGATGCAATGTGGAATAAAGAGCCACAAAATGGTAATATATGATAACATCTAAGTAAGTATCACCTACATAAAGTACGATGATGTAATATGATGCTTAAAATATACAAAAATACCCCACACAGGATAACAATAGTATGTTAAGTCAGAAGGTGAATAACAAAGTTAATATGTTCATTTATATTAAACTTTAAGAATACCTGTTTTAATCTTTAATGTAACCATCAAAAGAATAGAAAAAGCATCACAACTTAATGTTTGAAATATTAACATATAATCAATCCCAAAGAAGACAAAAACGAAGGAAATATAGAATGTTAAAAAGGCAGGATACATACAAATAGTAGATTTATAACCAAATATATCAGTAGGTATATTAAATATGAACAGAGTAAATACTATAATTAAAACACAATGATTACCACATTGCATAAAAAGTCAACACATACTATTAAAAATTCCCCTTATGTAAACAGAAAGGTTGAAAGAGTAAAGATGAAGGAAAATGAAACACATTAACAAACACACCACTTAACAACAGATGTCAAACACACCACTTAACAACAGACATCACATTCTGTTTGCCAGTACACTTGGACCAAAAATGACCACAAACTAGGTATAAATGAAGTTTCAACAAATCGCTCTCTGGTGATTGCCAGAGGGGATGGGGGTTGGGGGGTTGGGTGAAAAAGGTGAAGAGATGAAGAAGTACAAATCAGTAGTTACAAAACAGTTACGGGAATTTAGAGTATAGCACAGGATATATATAGTCAATATTATTGTAATGGTTGTGTATAGTGCCAAGTGGGTGGTAGAGTAACCGGGGGATCATGTCATAAATTATATAAATGTCTAACCATTGTCCTGTATATCTGAAACTAATATAAAATGACAAATAAATTCGTTTACCATAAATAAAAATAGAAAATAAATTTTCACCAATTATGGGTTATGACATGAATGATATTAAAGTGAATGGAAAATTAGGTAAAAAAATGAGGGCATCCTATCATTTGTGACAATATAAATGAACCTTGAAGGCATTATCCTAAGTCAAATAAGTCAGACAGAGAACGACAAATACTGTATGATCTCACCTATATGTAGAATCTAAAACAAAAACAAAAACACCAACATCATAGAAAAAGAGATTAGATTTGTGGTTACCAGAGGTGGGGATTTTGGGGAAGAAGGAATTGAAGGAAGGTGGTCAATAGGTACAAACTAAAAACAAAAAACAAAAACAAACAAAAACTTCAGAAGACTGAAAAATTAAATAGTCACAAACCACAGAATAAAGCAAAAAATAAAAAATTAGAATAACCCCACACAAAGAATGTTTGGAAATCTAGCAATATACTTTTAAATAACCCAAGGTAAAAAAGAAATTACAATGGAAATTAGAAAATATTTTGAACCAAAATATGTAAAAATATGGCATTAAAACTTATGAGATCCAGCTAATACATTGCTTAGAAGGAAATCTATAGCTTTAAATACATGTATAAATTAGGTGAAAGACTAAATATTAATGATG